GGAAAAGGCCAGACAATTTACAACTACAGTGAAAAAAACAAAACAGAACAACCCCCCCCAAAACCTGTGCGTCTTACCACTTCTGGCATCTGGTTTTGTTTTGCTTCACTTTGTTTTGTTTTCCTTTAATTGGTGGTCAGTTCGTGTACCCAAAGGCCTGCAATTCTAATGACCTATTTTCTGGTATGCTTGCCTGGGAATAATCCATGATGGGTTCCAATGTGTATCTCTCATGGTCCACTCACACTTGTTTAATTTTTAGAACTGCTTGTTGAAAGGGCATGCCATTGAGTTTCCCCTGGGTAGCTAGCAAGGATCCCAGTTTCAAAACTGAAAATTTTGGGTGTGAAGATGTTTTGAACAAGGAACAAGAAGCCTGTGTTCTCATCCTGGCACTGCCATTATTATCCATGTGAACTCGGGCAAGTCTCCAGATTTCTTTGGGTTGTGGTTTCCTCATGGGTAAAATTGGGATATTAATACCTACCTCACAGGGTTGTTGTGAGGATTAAATGTGCTCTGTAATCTGTTGTACTCTATAAATATTCATGAATTTTTGTTATAATTTAAGAGCCATTTGAAAGTATTCCCTGGCCACATAGCAGACATGCTAACACTTACACTATCTGATCAAGGGTTTTCATGGTCATGTGTTGCATATTGAAATCGCTGGAGCAAAATTTTATGTTTTTATATAAACATTTTTGTGTGGAAAGGGTCCATAGCTTTCATTGGTTTTCTAAAAGGGGGGGGGTCTATTATCCTAAAAAGGTAAAATCCAGTGCTTTAGATTGAAAAGTGGGATTCAGTAATGGGAATAAATGTATTGCTTCCAAAAGATCCCTCTTAACATGGCTGCAGTAGTAGTTGCAATGTTTTTTCAATAGTGAAATTTTTAATGTGGCCTAATGACTGGTTGTTCAGAACATGTGAAACTGGGACAGAAAATTCTTGGCCATATAGTCATGGTAGCCATTAGGTTATCCAACTGTCTACAGTGTGAAGGTGGAGGTAAAACAAATTATTAGCTATTCATTAGCTAGGCTCTAAGAAAGTCACCTTACCTCATGGAGTCTGTTACCTCATTTGTAAAGTGAAGGATTTGACCTTGAAGATTTCCAAAGTTCCTAGTTTGAATTCTCTAGGGAAGTGAGATCAAAGCTGGACTTGGATGAAGCCCTGTTGTGGCAGAAATGAATCAGGTTTTGTGTAAGAGGAGAAAGAGGGAGTGTCAGGGAGAGGAGGCGGGGCAGAGCATCCGGGGAAACCCCATTCTTGATAAACGTGGAAAACAAGAGCCTGCTGAGGTGAAGAGCCAGAGTCATCAGGGCAGAAAGAGAGCTAGTGGGCTACTCCTGAAGATCCAGGACTCTGGTGGACCAGAGACTCAACCTCCAACTTTCACCCTGGGCCTGACTTGCCCTCATGAGCGAACACCCCATCTTCTCTGCACTCACAGAACTTCCAGTTCTCAGGGGCAAATGCCTGGAGTCTTCCCTCTTCCCACATCAGGTGGTCTGGCTACTTCAGGAGAATGCTGCCCTACAAATGCCTCAAGGTACAAGTAAGTCACACAGATGGAGAGGCTGTTGGAAGGATTAACAGAACCACTATCTGTACTGTAAGGGGTACTGGAATCCTCACCCCCACAAGAGGAATTTTAGGGGAAAGATCCTTATTTTTCTAAACTACCCTGATATAGTATTATTAACTAAAGTCCATAGTTTATATTAGATTCACTATTTGTGTGTGTGTGTGTGTATTTTAAAAACTGGGTTGTGGCTATTTTCGTGTTGAGTGGCTGGCTCATCATATGCTGGGTTTATATTTAACCGCCAAAGAAACTAGCAGACTGTTCTCCAGAGTGGTGGTACCATCTTACATTCCCACTACCAGTGTATGAGCATCCTATCCTCACCAACACTTGACGGTCTTTTAAATTTTATCAATTGTAATAGGTATTGGGCTTGGGCTTTAAATTTGCAATTCCCTAAGATTAGTGGCATTGAGCATCTGTACTTATTTACCATTCATATATTTTCTTTGGTGAAGTATCATACAGGTCTGTTCTCCTGCTCTCCATCTTTTATTATTGAGTTTTAAGAGTTTTTATATTTTAGATATAAGCCCCTTTATTGGATACGTAATATGCAAATATGCTCTGGCAGGTAAGAGACTTGTCTTTTCATTTAATAGTGTCTTTTTAAAGAGCAGAATTGTATAATTTTGATAAAGTACATTTTATCAGTTCTTTTATAGATTGTGTTCTGGTGTAGTGTCTAAAAAAGTTGTCATCTATCTGAGGGTCATGAAGTTTTCTTCTGTTTTCATCTAGAAGTTTTATAGTTTTACATTTTCTACACAGGCCTATGATCCATTTTGAGGTAGTGTTTGTATATGGCACAAAAATTTGTATATGGTACTTCAAACTATGGCTCAAAAGTTTGTTTTGCATAGGATATCCAGCTGTTGCAACACCATTTATTGAGAAGACTCTTGTTTCTACACTGCTTTGCAACTTTGTCAAAGATCATTTTTCCCTTATGTGTGGTTCTATTTCTAGACTTTCTATTGTCTTCCACTGATTGTTGATTTTTATGTCAATACCACACTGCTTTGATTACTGTAGCTTTATAAGAAGTCTTGAAATCACATAGTATTTATTTGTTTTCTGACTTCTTTTTTCAAAGTTGTTTGGCTATTCTAGGTCCTTTGCATTTCCATGTGAATTTTAGAATAAACTTGTCAAAAAATGCTTGCTGGGATTTTTATTAGGATTATGTTGAATCTATACCTCAATTTTAGGAGAATTGCCATTTTAATAGTCTTCTGAATTATAGAAAATGGAATAGCTCTCTAATTAGATTTTCTTTAATTTCTTTCAGCAACATTTTGTAGTTTTGGTTACAGGTTTTACACATCTTTTGTCAGTTCATATTTTTTAATGCTGATATAAATAGTATTCTTTAAAATTTCTGTTTCTGATTGTCTGTTGCTGGTATTTACAAATACAATTGCATTTTGCATATTGATCATGTATCTTGCAAATTTGCTAAACTCACTTATTATAATAGTTTTTTTGAAGACTGCATCAGATTTTCTGTATATGCAACCTTGTCACCTGTGAACAGACAGTTTCATTCCCTTCCCACTATGGATGCTTTTTCTTTTTCTTGCCTTATTGGACTGGTTAGAACCTCCAGTGCAGTACTGTATAGAAATGGTGAGAGGGAACATGTTTTTCTTCTTTTTAAACTTGGGAGGAATGCATTCAGTCTTTAATAATTCAATATGGTATGATGTATAGATTGTTTAGATGTCTTTTATCAGATTAAGGAAGCTCTCTTAACTAGTTTGCTGAAAGTTTTCCATCAGGAATGGGTCTTGTCAAATGTCAAAGGCCTTTTCTGCATCCTCTGAGATGGTTATGTGTTGTGGTTGTTTTGAAAAAACAAATTAGCTCTGTGGACTAGGAAAAATGGGAATGGAGGGCTACATTTTTTAGAATAATACTCTGACCTTGTGATTCTCTAAAATAGGGGTCAGCAAACTTTTTCTGTAGTAAATATTTCAGTTAATCTTTTAAGCTTTGTAGGCCAAAGTGTCTGCCACTTACTCTTTGTTGTTGTTGTTTTAAAAACATTTCTTTAAAAAAGAAACTATTCTTAGCTTACATCTAAAATTTTTGGCCTGGCCCCCTGAGCTAAAAAAAACCGATTTTTTACAGGGGCGCCTGGGTGGCTCAGTCAGTTAGGTGTCTGCCTTCGGCTCCGGTCATGATCCCAGGGTCCTGGGAACGAGCCCCACATCGGGCTCCCTGCTCTGTCCCTGCTCCTGTGCTCTCCCTCTCTCTCAAATAAATGAATAAAATCTTTTAAAAAATAATTTACATCATTACAGAGTTGGCTGTAGAGTTGCAAAAAGATGCATGTAACCAGCAAAGCCCCAAATATCTACAGTTGGCTCTTTTCCAGAAACACTTTGCCAACTCCCTATTCTAGAATATTGTCATAAAAATACTTCACAGGGAAGATTACATTTTCATATACTGTATCTGGCTCAGATTAAATTAAGCCATGGGTAGCAGCTTCTCTCCATCTGCACTGCTAGTCCCTAAACTGGGAATTTTTAAATAAGAGTGTGATTATTAAAATGCGTCATACGAAGAAGCAACTGAAGATGTCAATCTGGAAATTAATTGATGGCTACTGTGCTTGATTTCTCAGAATCTGGAAGACTTGGCTCTTTGGTTTAGAAGCAGCACTGGCTGAGACATGGTTCTTTGGAAACAGACAAGGTATGGTCTTGATTGTCTGGGTGTTGAGTACCCCTCCCGTAAGTGCATTTAACTGACACTAATACAGCGGTAATTCTGTTCCCCGCGTTGTTCTAAGGGTTTTATCCTCTGGGCTTCTCTCCTTGCCTAATGATACCAAAAAGTTCTTGCTCATAGCAGGTTGCTGAAAGGATTACATGCGGCTCGGTAACTTATCTAAGACGCTCCTACAGTGGTGGGGCCAGAATCTGGCGCTTGACTCTCAACCGTGCTGTTTCTCTAGTACACAGACTTGTCCATTCTCAGCCTCCTCTCTACCATCTGGTCTTCTTCCTCAGGTCTTCTAGTTGCCATAAAGACTGATGGGTGAGATAAGACTGAAAAGTCCCATTTGACACCCTTTCGAGTGAACTGGAAGATTTCTAGCACTTTTTAAGAAGTGAGGGGGTCCAGAATGTTTTAGAAAGGGAGAGAGAGACAAGAAGTAATAAAACTAAAGAGACTAAGAACTAGGAAAGCTTCCATCCTTTTCTTTCCCTCTGACATGAAAACAGATTTGAAATTTGGAGGTAGTAAAGAGCTTTCCCTAGTTTTACTTCATTTGGATCAGTATTAACCAGTTTGTGGTTGTTCCTAATGAACCCCTCTGGGGTAACCACTGACTGCATGTTAATAATTACACTGACGACTTTAATTTTTTTTTTTAAGATTTTATTTATTTGAGAGAGAGCAGGAGCACCGAGGGTGGGGTGGGGGGGTAGAGGGAGAGGGAGAAGCAGACTCCTCCCCGCCGAGCAAGGAGTCCAACGTGGGGCTCGATCCCAGGACCCTGGGATTATGACCTGAGCCGAAGGCAGACACCTGACTGAGCCACCCAAGCTCCCCAACACTGACTACTTTTAAAGGTTAAGAAGTGAAATAACCAAAATCAAAATATGTCACTCATTGTCAATTAGCTCTCAGATTTATTCCTGCTAGTGTGCACATCCCCAGGGACACTGCTTTCCTTCCTTGGGAGTGGGCAGAGGTTCATCTGTCCAGTGCTCAGTCCCACACAGATTCTTGCAGCTGAGCTCCTCCTGCAGCTAGTTCCCATTTGCAGCCCTGGGTTGGGCCTGATGTAGTCCGCCCACCAGCTCATGGTTCTTGGTTTCTCCTCTTTTACATAAATGTATTACTTTCTTGTATATATTATACCAGTTAAGTAGTGTGGGTCACTTCCTGCCTGGCAAGGGGCCCAGCATTTGACATGTGAGGGAGCCAGGGACAGTTACATTGTTAACAGACTACAGTCTTCTCATTTTTTCTTGAGCTTTCAGGGAACTCCGACCCTCCTGGGTTTCGAAAGCCTTTTTCTTTTACCCTGATTTGTCCTTTCCCAAGTACCCAGGCTCTGAAGTGGCAATTTTAAATATACTAACTCCATTTAAAAGTGCCATCTGATGTCTTCATCTATTGATTACTCAAGTTTGTCGTCTACTTAAAGTTGCTTTAGTTCTGTCTCCCGGCAGAATTATCTATTTTGGGGGGGGGGGGTGTTCAACTGTAGAGGTAATACATCTTTATTTTGGCAAATCCAGAAAATACAGATAAGCAAATAGAGAAAGATCAGAATCATCTGTAATCCAACCATCCAGAGTCAACTTGCTGGTATAATTTTAGTAGATTTTCTCACAGTGTTTGCCCATGCGCACATTTTTTTTTTCTAGAAATAGGATTACTTAGTACAGTTCTGTGTTACAGACTTTTTAAATTTTTCTGAGCTCACACTCTTCTACAACATTGATTTTAATGATCTATCCCATAGGTGTGCTTTAATTCATTAACAAGTCTGCTCTTGTCCACCGGTCCCATTCTAGGAGGATTTTTATGTAAAAAAATGAATGAACACAACCTAAAGACACTTGAGAACAAGGGCCGCATGATACAGCATTTGGCTCTCTTAATGGGGAGGACAAGATTGTTTTGGTGGCTAAATATGGGATAGATGGGTTCGGTCAAGTGGAGGGTCCTTTCAAATTGCGCATTTCCACTCAGGGAAGAAATAGTGTCACTATATGCCTGGAACCAAACATAAATGCACAAAAGCCTTCTTGAGGCATCTGCTGTATCACAGTGTTACATACTTCTAAGTGATACTAGGCCATTATAATAAAGTGTACTTTTGATGACATATGATCTGACAAAGCAGTTTTTTGTATGAAACTCTTTCAAAGACAACAAAAATGGAATAATATTTAGTTCTCTATGTAATAGACAACATACTAGTTGGAGTGTGAAAGTGTCATTCGGAGCCCTCACTTGTAAAAGGCAGCAAGAAATCTTGTTACCGGAATTACTGGAGCTTCCTTCCCTGGTTATAGACTGTACCAGGACCCCAAGTCTTAACTCCGAGAAAAGGGTCAGGGGAATGTGGGTAGGTTTGTTCTTTAGTCCATTGGTTTGCTCTAAAGATGCCTCTGTTTAGGCCCAGCAATGTCAAGTTCAGGCTTCATTCGGCCTGGGCTGGCCTGGCTACAGTGAACTTACTTCACTGCTGTTCTCAGTAATTATGGGCTCGGTACGTAGCCTCCCCATGGAGCCATGAGGCTTTCTCCTTTCCAAGATGCTTGGCCTCAGGGATGCCAAATATGGGTAGAAATGGAAATCCCAGCTACCCCAATAGATCCAGAATCCATCTTTTCTTCAACTTGGACAGTTTATCTTTAAAGTCTTGTTAGGTCTCTGTCATCTAATCAAACATAGTGGAAAAGGGGATTCTTTATGACTTAAGACAAATGTCTGATTGCACTTCTATAATGAAAGAAAGGCTTTCCAATTTGCTAAAGCACCCGAGTTATCAGTAAAAAGAAACATCTTACCCCATCACATACATTACTATGTCAATGTTTCTCCTTCACCTAACACTAGCTCCCATTTACTTAGCCCTTTCCATGTCTCAGGCAATAGTATTCTAAATAATTTATATGCTTTTATGCCTTTAGCCCTCAAACAACCTGGCACTAGGTATTCTTACCCCAGTTATTACCAATGTTGAAAGTGAGGTACTGTGGTTCTATTATTTGCCCAAGAACACATGGTTATTAAACTTCTCTTTTGTGTAATGAGAGGGATATAATTATAAAATTGGAAATGTTTGGGAAAGAGTATAAAATGTAGTACTTCTGTTATAATCTTCATGAATTAAAGTTTTGCTGCTTATCTGTTATCTTTTTAAGGGTGGGGTAAGCCAGAAAATTCAAGCTCAGGGTAATACCAAAATGTTAGCTCTAGAACTTAGAAGTGACATGGAAGTTTTGTAAAACATGGGGAAGATAGCTTCCCTACTCCTCCTGCAAAGAACAAATTTTATAATCTTGGTTTTCCCTTCTTGGTGGACTAACTTTGGCCACTGCCCGCTGGGAAGCCTTTTCCCTTGCCCATTGCTCTTTCAAAGAGCCCCTTAATAGCACATGGAACTTTTAAGAATACAAGGCACAGGGACATGGCCCAATTGTGCTTGCTAACAGTCTTGGAAGAAATTGTTTTTAAGGGAAACACTAATTGCAGAGACCAGAAAAAATTTCTCTAAGCTGAACCAAGTTTTGTCATTCCTAATGTTTGTTATGGGGAAGAAAAATTTTTTTCAGAGCCCTTACAATTTCCTTAAGCAGCAACTGTTTTTCTTTGCAAATCAGGGATGAAGCAGGGCCTTGGCCCTATTGGTGAGCTTTCACATTTCTCCAGGGAAAGAAACAGATTTGAAGAATCCCCTACTCCAGAAGCAGAGGTGGAAAGGCGACCCACTTGTTGCGATGGTGTGGACAGTTGATTTCGTTTCCGTGAGGATTCCTGTCGGTGGCCGAGCACTGAATTTGTCTCAGTGAGTGCACATTGCTGACAGTAGTAAGAGCCATGAGAATCACGTTCCATCTCTGCCTGCCACACAGCTGAACCTGGTGAATTCTTTGATCGCTAAAAGCCCAGATCGAATACCACTATGTCCTGTACTGTTTGTTTTCCCCAGAAAAAAATGGACCCTTTTTGGACTTGTCACATGCCTTCCTGCCTTGATTTATTAGTTCCTAAACTGAGCTCTTTGAGAGCAGAAACTGAGACTCCTCTCTGGCATTACAGGACCTAGGGGCAGATTCTGAACTAAATTGTTGAAATCTGTCTAATACCAAGGAAGATGATAACATAAATAACATCTGTCTGTGGGAGGTAGTTCCCCCAGGACTACCCTTTACCTTATGCTCTGTTCCCCCCAAATGCCGGTGACCATCTGCTCCTAGATTCTTATTCTTGGTCAGGGCTTCTTGGACTTCCTATGGAGACTTCAGAAATACTAAAGGATTGCTAGCTTGTACCACTAAAAATCTGGAGATTTGGTGGGAGTTGAAATGTCTTGGAGCTTCATACTTCCTCTCAAGAAGCCATCTACATTTTATGTTTTGTATGTCCTATTACATGGGCAAAGTTTTCTCCTAAAACTTCGGGAAAATGTACCTGACTTCACAGTTCCAGAGAGGGTAGTTTGAGAAGCATGGTGCTCATTACAGCTCATCGTGAGCACAGCAGGTAGCACTCCGCGAGGAGGAATCTCTGAAGCCTGGAAATAAGGAGATTTGGGGTGCAATCTGCCTGACAAAAAGTTGTTACCGACAGAGATTTGAGACACAATTGAAGCCCAAGTTTCACTCTGTTAATTGCTGATAGAAAAAATACCTCACAGCTTGAGAAGACAAAATGGTAACTGAGATGTAGTTAGTGTTCTCTGAAGTTCTGTATATGTTACCTGATATAAAAAAAAGAGTATGCAGATTTAGATTGATTTGCATGAACTGTAAGCCAGTTTGTGCTTTTCCATACAAACATCTCAGGTTGGAGCAACCATTGATTGCATCTTAATTTTGGACGCTGACCAGCATTAAAAATTAAGAAACAATATAAGAAACAAACACCAAAGACAAAACTATGTATGTCACTTAAGAGTAAACCATTCCTCCTTGTAGGTGCTTTCCCAAAGTCAGTGATTTTCTTTCTTGGGAACGGGTCAGAATCCTGACAAATGCTCAGCTGAGCCGAAGTCACCAGCTAGTGTGTAGGTGCAATGGGGCACCTCCTGTGCATTCCTGTGACAGGCCTGAGGGCTTTTCCCAGAGGAGGATGTTAATGGCTTTCTACAACAAGGCTGTGTTTCCTTAACTTGCCCCGAGTTGATAGATTTCAATGATCTAGATTGACATGTGCATAAGTAGCGTGGGGTGCATTTTGCCTCGCAGCGCTCAGAGTTCATCTGGCGTGCTCATTTGTCCACCGACTGTATTTTCAGTGGTTGTCCTATGAAAGCACCAAGCAAAACCGTAAGCTTAGCAGGTATCCTGCATGGCCATTACTTTGTGATATTGCTTTTACTTTGGGGGGAGGTATTTCAAACCTCTCTTTTGTCCAAACTTGTTCTTTCTTAAATCTCTTGGCTCTGAAGTGGCCATTGTTAACCTACAAACTCTATTTAAAGTCCCTTTTCTGATTTCTGGCCCTGGCGGTTAAGCAAATCAATACTTGGTTAAGGTAGCCACAGGCCTACTTCTTACAAGCTGTATCTTATGAAAAAAAAATAATTTCCTCTATAATCTTTAGAGAAAAACTAATTTTTTCCCTATTACAAAAGTAACATATTGGGTTGATCCAGAAAATATATTTAAGTAAAAGGAGAAAGATTAGAATAATCTATAATCCCATTACTCGGTTTTCATGGCCATTCTTCTAGACTCTTGCCATATGTCTTGTCTTTTCCCGGAAATGGGATCATACAGTGCATGCTGTTTTATTCTCTTACAGTCTTCTACAACTTCCATTTTAATGACCTACCCTGTGGACGGGCCTCAGTTTATTTAACCAATGTGCTGTTGCCCACAGGTACCCAAGAACCTGTCACTAGAAGGGCACTGGTTGTCACCTGGATGCACCCTAACAGCCCCCACAGTGTGATGCTCACTTGTCTCCTGTTGGGGGCGGGGCATGAGTGCCTTTGTGATTAAATGAGGGATTGGTGGCTTATGTCAAACAGGGGAATCTTTGGAATTAGATGTTTCTGCTAAACGAGCAGAGGATGCCAGCTGGTGCTGAGTGGCCAGACCCTGCTTGGAGCATCATCCCATGTCACTCTGGAGTGAGAACACTGTCACAGTGGAGGCTGTGGAGTGCTATCCTGACCCCCCCCCCCCCCTTCAGTTCCTAGGCACTCATTCCCTTCGTGGCCCACAAGTCACAGATAAATTCCTCTCCAGAAACTGCCTTAGCTAAAGGGACCCACCATGATCAAGGTCACGGCCCTTCCCCTGGGGGAGTTTTCATCCAATGATTGGTTGATGGGGGGCTATAATTGCCTGCCCCCTTACCCCCCCGCTTGGGACAACCCTTCAGGGCTCTTCTGGTTCCAGAGCTCTGCGTGACCCATGCTGAGGCCTGTGTTGGGACCACACAACAGCTCTGCTCCCCCTACCCAACTCTGATTTCCTCTCTTCACCCCCACTGATGAATCTCCCACAAGGACCTTCCAATAACCTTCCTCCATGCGCATCGCTAGCTCAATGTCTGCTTCCCTGGGAACCCAATCTGTGGCAGGCACTAAAAGTTCACATTTTTGGCTTGACAGAGAGTTTATGTGCATAGTATGTCTTACAGAGATAATACAAGTTAAATAATATGAGTTCTAATTGTAATTGTTACAGGTTTCTCCACAATACTTATGTCGCTAGATAGCTAACATTTCCTTTCTAAGTTGAATCAAATCTGTCTTGGAGCTCTCACTTGAGGAAGTCAACAAGAAGTGTTCTGTGTTTGTCATTTCCTATGACTCTTACCCCACCATTTGGGCGTCCCAGGTGTGAGACACAGTTGATGGGGAGGTGGGTGGGTCCCTGCTCAGGCCTTAGCAGGCCTCTCCGAGGCAGGCCATTCTCCTCATGGGGCCCCTCACCGTGCGCTGACTGTGGACCCTCAGGGCTCCTCTCAGTACTGATATGGGTCTACAGACCCCTGTGTGGCCACACATGCCCTTCTCATTATGGAGGAGGAAAAATACTTTTACAACCGATTTCCTCTCTTGACAGTCAAGGCTTTATTCGGCAGTTTCCTTATTCATGATGAGGGGATTTTATCTCTTCAGCAGCCACTGGTGGCTGTCCGCCAATCTGGAGCAGCCTCAGGAAAGTGGCAGAGCCCTAGCTGAGCTGCTAACTTTCATATTTCCCCAGGAGAGGAAGCAATTGTAAATCACTCCACTCAAGAAGCAAAGGTGGAGAAGTGACCTCTGAGTCCTGAGCTGGGGATGGGTGACTCAATTTTTATGAGGATTCCTACCTTTTTCCTGGTTTAGGTTCTGAAATTCCACCCCCCCTTCCCTATATTACGTTGGGTTGGGGGGGGGCATTGCTGACGATGGATCAGACAAAGTATAAGTCAGCCACCATTGTGGATTCAGTTGTGGCCCCCCCAAAAGCTGTGTTGAAGACCTAACCTCAGGTACCTCAGAAGGTGACTGTATTTGGAAATAAGATCTTTGTAGTTGTAATGAGTTGAGATGAGGTCTTACCGGAGTAGGGTGTGCCCTTTATCCAATAGGATTGGTGTCCTTATAAGAGGAGGAGAGACAGGGAGACATGGATACAGGAGAGGGGAACACCACAAGATGACGAGGCACACATCGAGTGCTGCAGTGCAAGACTAGGAACTCCAAGCACCAGAATGAGGAAGAGGCAAGGAAGGATTCTCCCTTACAGGAACCCATGGATATGATTTAGGAGCTGAGAGGTCCATTTCTAGCTTAGTGAGGCTGAAAGAAAAGCTAACAGAGTAGGTGGGGAACTGTGAAGTCACTCTCCGGATTTGGCTGGGGCCCGGGAGGGGCTTCCTTGTAGGACCTTATGTAGCTGCTTCGTAGAATTTTTGGATTCTGAGAATGAAGCCCTACCAAGGAATTTGAAGATCCCCTGGTATCATTGAGTGTCCTGTTTCATGTGGAGAAAACAAGATCTGGGGAGGTTAAGTGGCTTACCCAGGGGCCAGCTTGTAAACAGTAGAGACAGGCCTGGAGCCCCAAGCACTCTGAGATGCAGGCCAGTGTGCTTATTCCAGCTCTGGACTCCCTTGTAGGCCTGTCAAAACACTGGGCAAAGTCCTGAAGAAACTCTGAGGAGGCTCTGCACTGACTTTTCAAAGCTACTAAGGTTGGCAGCCTTGGCTTTGGGGGCAGGTCCACCAATTTGTTTGGGCCTCAAGTGATTTCTGAAGACAGTGTTAACATCACAAACAGATTTTAGGCTTTTGTATCAGATAATAGCATTTAGATTCTAGCTCTGTGGTTGCAGACCAAGTAATTTTAGGAGGAGTTATTTAAACTCTCTCAGCCAGGATTTATCTTTAAAAGCTAGGTCATTGGAACCTTGCAAGATTGATGAAAGGTCAGATAAGGAATTTTTTGCAAAGGGCTTGGGTCAGAATTGGTACTTACCAAAATGAGTTGTTTTTCCTCCTTTAGTTCTTTTCTAAGTTCTCATTTGTGCCTGAAAAATTTAACCTGATATAAGAACAAAGAGTATAGTAACAAAATACAACTGTTACCTTTACTACTACTACTACTACTATTACTACTACCATAAAATAGATAAGATTTACTGAGTAGATGCCAGACACTGTCTCATAATGGCTTTTACATGGATTACTAATCAGCATAACCCTAGGATATAGTTACAACTATTAACCCCCTTTTATAGATGACAAAACTGAGGGTAACATAAATTAAGAAACTTGCCCAGGCTCACATAGCCAGATAGTGATGGAGATGGACCCAGACAGTCTGTGACTAATGCGAAACATCAAAATGAGCCACATTCAGTCCTGGGTGTCCACCAGGAACATAGAGCAGAGTCATATTGCAAGGGACGAAACCATAGGCTGTTTACATCTAATTCTTTACGGTTACCAAAGTCTGTCCATTCATAGCATTTGCTGAGTTGACCATAACCTTAAACGACTTGGTAGAATAGGTTGTGGCTTTCAAATAAGAGTCAGTAGGTGAAGTGTAGCCAAGATAGGATAACCAAGTACTCTGAGACTATATTTGAAATGTTATTATCTTCAGGCAAAAATGCCTGTTGTACTCAGATCCATGACCAGACAGTCAATATGGTTTATAAATCAACACGATCCTGGAATCCTCCTTATAAGATCTCTACCTCATGATTGTCCAGATTATTTGAATACCCCCAAAGATGGGGAGCACATCACCTCCTAAGAAAGCCCTACTCACCTTTAGGGAACACTGGCTGAAAATTCTGCCCATTGGTGGATTAACAGCCTAAATATGAATAAGCAAAACTTTTAAAACATCAGAAGAAAATAGAGAAAAATATCTTTATGACCTAGGGGCAGGGAATTATTTCTTAAGCAAAATTATGAAGGAAAAAATTGATATATCTCATTACATTAAAGTTTTAAAACTCCCTATTTCTCAAAAAACATCATAAAAGTATGAAAAGCAAGTCACAGGGAGATATTTACAGCACTTAAAAATGACCAAAAATGAAGTGTCCAATGTGTGTATATATGTATAAGAGAAGGAAACAGCACTGTAAAAATATACGAAGTGAAAGACTTTTTAAAAAGAATTTTATAGGGGTACCTGGATGACTCGTTTAAGTGTCTGCTTTCAGCTCAGATCATGATCTTGGGGTCCTGGGATCGAGCCCCGTGTTGGGCTCCATGCTCCAATGCAGAGTCTGCTTTTCCCTTTCCTTCTGTGCTGCCCCATTCTGCTTGTGCTTGCTCTCTCTCTCTCTCTCAAATAAAATCTTAAAAAAAAAGAATTTTATAGAAGAAATCCAAATGGCTAATTAACATATGGAAAATTGCTCAACCTCAATTGTAAATGAGAGAAATACAAATTAAAACTATGATTTTTAACTTCGTTGCATTGGTTTGCTAGGGCTGCCATAACAAAGCACCACGGACTAGCTGGCTCAAACAACAGAGACTTCTTATTTTTTGTTTTTATTTAAATTTCAGTTAACATACAGTGTAATATTAGTTTCAGGTGTACAATGTAGCGACAGAGCTTTATCTCTGCATGGCTCTGGAGACTAGAAGTCCAACATCCAGGTGTGGGCAGCGTTGATTTTTTCTGAGGGCCTTTCTCCTGGGCTTGCTGTCTTCTCCCCATGTCTTTTCACAGTCCTCCCCTGTGCATGCCTGTGTCCTAATCTCTTCTTCTTGTAAGGACACCAGTCCTATCAGATTAGGGCCCACCTTAATGACCTCATTGAACCATAACTACCTCTTTAAAGACCCTAACTCCAAATGCGGTCACATTCTGAGGTACTGAGGGTTAGGACTTCACACATGAATTTGGGGAGGACACAGTTTAGCCCACAACACTCATCATATTAGCAATCTTTTAAGAGCTGGCAATACAAATGTAGTTGAGGATGTGGAACAGAAAATGTGACCGACTGCTGATGAGAAAAGCGACTTGAATTAAAACGGAACATGCAAATACCCTATTACCAGCTATTCTATTCCTGGAGATGTACTCAAGAAAATCTGTGTACAGGTGGCTGGGAAGACATGTATACAGATGATCATACCAGCACTGGAAACACTGGAGACAATCCCAACGTTCATCGGCAAGAGAAATAAAGTACGTTTGTACAGTGGAATTCTCTCTGGCAGTGAAATGAATGAGCTCCAGCTGTACACAAATATGTAAATGATTCTTAAAAACAGAATGTAGAATAAAGGAAAACTTCAGAGGAATATTTGTAGTCTTAACATTTTTATAAGGTTCAAAAAACAAAATAAACAGAATAATTTGTAGGGATATATACATATGGCATAAAAGTAATATTTGGAGAAAGACAACAATAAGCCCCAAATTCAGATAATACTTAGCTCTGGGACCGCAAAGAGACAAAAAGGGGATCGAGAAGGATTATAGGGGGTTTCAACTGTTTTGAAAATAGCTTATTTCTTAAGCTGGTTGGTGGATAAACATGTGTTCACTGTATTATGTTTTGAGGGCTTTTTTGCATTCATTAAATGTCACATAATTCTTTTAAAAAGACCTAAAAAGGAAAAATCAAAGAACATGTGAATGGGGTCTAGATCTTGTGGACCGTAAAAGAAAAGTAAATGTTCAACAGGGATGTTGCTTTTGGTCAATCTTGTAGTTAGTGATGGGAAGAAAATGCAATACTTAAAAATTTGGTTACTGCTCACAGAGAAAAGACCAATAAATCAGTGATCAACTAGAATGAAGGAGTTGGATGGGGATCAAGACGGGAAGTTTGTTTTCTAGACAGCCCGTGAGAAAGGTGTAAGTGGCTACATGTTAACCGCTGTGTTCATCAATTTAGTAAGTCACATCAGCTACTTGATTTAATGAGTTACCATAATAAATCACTTGCATAATGTAAATGCACCTACATGGTTGAATTTTTAAAAGACTATTTGACCTAAGGAGATTCAAATAACATTAACGACAGTGTACATAACTTGAGTTAAGCAGTAACAGTTCTTTTAAAACAAGCATCATAGAAATTAATGTACTAACTTCCTTAGAGTGGAAAAGAAAAGTTAATACTAGTTTCTCACCTGGTTCCTTTTGAGGCAAAAATATGAACAATTAAGGTAAACTCTCAAAAGGGGGAAGAGAATAGATATAAAAAGTGATTCTTCACCTCAAATGAACTTAAACGTCTTTTTGAAAAGATGACATGAGCACATAGAAAAACACCAAGTAGCAGTGCGAGACTGTGCCTAATTTCAGCAAACTCTGACCAGCCACGTGCCAGTCCTGTGCGGGGCCTGTGGTATGGGGGTGAAATAGTCTCCTTCAAAGAGAAGGAGACTCTCTGTGGGAGAAACAGACAGGCAAGCAAACATCCTGAATACCATAGGAGAAGCGCTATCATAGCGGATGGCATGGCCCAACTTGGGGAGGTCAGGGAAGGCTTTCAGGAGAAGGTGAAGGAATGAAGAGGGCTTCTGAAGGCAGATGGTAGCTGGGCTCGTCAGGTAGAACAGCATGAACAAAGACCTGAGGTGAGCGAATATGCGCTTTCAGGTAACAGCACGTACAGGGACTGAAGTCACAGGCGTGGTGGGAATAGCTGGAGACGAGGCTGGAGATTGTGGTCGGGAGAGGCCAGAGGGTGAGGACTCTTGTACTTGAGGCAAAGCACTTTGGGCTTTATCTTAAAGGCAGTGAGGCAACACAGAAGGCTGGAAATCAGGGAGTGACATGATCAGGTTTGCTTCTTAGCTCCGGGGAGGAGTGGGGAGGGCAGGCTGAGCATGGCAGCCCCGAGAGGTGTGCACAAAGAGATTAAATTGAATCCCTGGGGATAAAGCAGAAGGGGGACTGCAGAAGAAACTCTGGGAACAACAGCATTTCAAGGTGGGCAAAAGCAGAGGAGAGTAGCCCAAAGGAGATACATGCAAATTCGCTTAAAACTCTTGAGTTCCTTCTCACTTCCTCATGATGGTTTGTATGCAAGCTGCTTTCACTAAGAAATTTTCCAGCTTATTTTATAAAACCCTGGTCACAAGCAACAGAAAACATTGTTTTGGGAAAAGAACAGAATTATGGAGTCAAGACCAGGGTTTGAGTAATGACTCAGTCAAGTGTTGGTATCTCGAAGGAAACAACTGAGTCTCAATGTCCTCATCTGTAAAATGAACATTAGATTGACATGATTGTTATGAAGAGTAAACAAGCACGATATTTGTAAAAATGACGAAGTAATGCGCACGTTGAGTATCTAATGTGTACATAAAGGAGACTAATCTCTGACATGAAAGGAGAAAGTCCAATGAGCTGAAGATTCTTAAAAGGTAACCACAAATTAGTCTAGACAGTTATCTGGAGAGAGAATCAAACAATAAGAAGAATCTAGACACTCCTCAGGAAAAAAAAAAGGAAATTGATAAAATTAACCTTGATTTTCATTTGTTAGCTTGATAAACATTTAGCTGGGATAATATTAAATATTCTGCAATTATTTCAGTGTGGACCAAGAATTGTTTTAAGTTGTTACATATGTTTTTCATTAGCTGTCTTCAAAAGCTTTCAAATGTAAACATGGACTTAGTATGTTTTAGCAAACCAAGAAATTTTGGAAGTTTTACATGGGAAACTTAACCCAAGGAAGTTATTTCAGTAATAATAACCAACATTTACTGAGCCCTATTATGTCCTTTGTGCCTACTATGTCCTATCTCTAATCCTCCCAAAATGGAAGTAAGATAAGATTAATACATAAAATTGGACTCAGACGGTTTTACTAACTTGTTCAAGGTCACACATGTGGAAAGCGGCAGAGTAGGATTGTGAATCCAAGTTTCAGAGACTCCAAAATTCACTGCCATGCCTTCCCTTCGCGCTGAAGGAAGATCACAGAAAAGGGGCCCATGACCAAACCTGGGCAGTCCTAGAGGGCTTTCAGGACGACGTGATGTTTGAACAGAGTTCCAGAAAAATGAGTAGGAATCTTGAAGTGGGGGGGAGATGATATGAAAAGAAGAGGAAACAGGGAAGCTTGCAGGGAACAGCAAGTAAAGGATTGAGGCAGTTCATGACTTACAAAGTACGTGCATGAGCAAGTTCCCATTCTATCTTCAGGAAACAATGTTCCTCTTTCCCATCTAATAGATAAAAACGAGCCATATTGGAGGTGCAATGACTTGTTCGAGGACACAGAAAAAGGAAATTGCAGCACTAGAGTTCAAGGTCCGCTCTGGTGACGCCAGATCCTGGGCTCATGCTCATAACTGTGGCAGCTACAAAGAAAAAATTTCACTACATAGTTTCCATTATAACTTAATTTCCGATTTTATCATATCGTCCCTACCCTTATTTTCTTTCTGTGTCAGTTACTTCACCCACTTCTTTTCCATTTTATCCTCATGTCACACATATATTTGTAGGCTTGCTCAAACTAACTTTCAATGAACCAGGGCATAAATTGATAAGAACTTCAATGCCCACAAAAAAGAAATTGTGTCGATGTTTTATATTCCCAACTAGTTCTGGGCTTTAGGAAACCACATCTTTATCCAACTGTGATATTAAGGGATATATAGTCTTGCATATTGTTAACTTCATCAAACACTCCAACAGAAATATGTTTCTGTGTTGCTACAGTCTTCTTGATGATGATTTTCCACGACTGTATTTTTTTCTGTAAAGGAGACATGGCTATTCCCATACCACTGGACATTCAGACTGATTCTTCTGGTTTTCCAAAGCTAGTGGACTATAAGGGTCCACCCCAAGCCTTCCCACTGCAGTCTCTTTCACTGCCTTCACATCTTGTCCATCCCATTCTAGGGTTATGGGTATTGGTACGTGTCAATTTGGGACCTCATTCAGGGTTCCTTACTCACTCAATTGCATGTCTTTTCCATTTTTACCATCAGGCTCTAATCCGTAAGTTCCCTGGGTCTTTGTTACATAAATCCCCTCAAATCCTGTTTTGGAAAAAGGTATGGTATAAAGAGAGTAAATACACTTCTGGGGAGGATAAGGATTCTTATCCTTACAGGATACAGCACTACTGTGCAAAACTAGTGATTTCCTGCTTATGACAATTGCGTGTGTTAAGCTCTTGGGCGCTGGTATAAACAATAGTTGTATAGTTTCAACCCAAGGCCTTGGAACAAAGCTCTCTTTTTCTTCTATCTAACCACTCAGAGAGGATATGGATTCAGGAAAAATAGCTCTGAGGGAGGCACTCTAGGGAAGTGGTTATAAGCACACAGCAGAATGAGCCAGATGGATATGGATTTGACTCCCAACCTTGCTTTTCATGGCTGTGAGCCTCTGGACAAGTTGTTTCTCTTCTATGAGCCATAGTTTCTACATCCTTACCTTCTTTAGAGGGTTGTTTAGGGATTAAATAAGACCCAGGATATAGTGAGCATTCAGTAAACGTTAATATTATCATTGGGATAGTTTCTTCAAAATAACAATTTCAAAGCTTTGAATACAAGATGATGGTGGACCTTATATGGTCATAAGGCACACAACAAACAACTGGAGTGATCAGAGTTTCTACTGAGACGTTGTTTTTCACTTTTTCCCAGTGTGATTTCAGAATCAGGAAGAAAATCAGGCCTCTAACTGTGGATATGGCCTGCAGCTATGGGCTTAAATGAATGATTGGAGTGTATTCTTGGGTAAGTAATTTAATTTCCCTGTATCTTACTGTCTCTTCTGTAGAATGTTGATTCATGGAAAACTAGTGGTTTTGGAAAACCCTCTCGATGGAGACTGGGTTTCCAGCCCTGCTTATACTGTGCTATGAACATGAATTGCTGGCAGCATAATGACTCAAATCCCACATCCGGCTTTTGGTGGCATTTACCACTGATGAGGTTCGTGTGTTCCTGTCATGAAGGCCCGCAGAAGAGCCATTTTCATTGGGGTCTGATTTGAAGTGAGCTGACACATTAGCAGGACATAATGCTGGTGTGCTCTCCTTGAGAGAAGACCATTTGCCCACTAATTTGCTGACTGGCCTGAAGAATCAGAGGAACTGATGCACTCAGAGACCCCAGGGACTCCTCTGCCTGCAAGTTTGGCTTTGGCAGGAATGGTTACTGCTCCCTGGTTGCATGATTCATGCTTGTCCCATCAAAAAAGCATATACTAAAGGAGAACAGCGATCGATTAAGAAAGAAAATATTAATTACTACCAAGGGGAAACATTCACTCTCCTTACCTCTAAGGATTTGGAAATAATGGTACTTATTCCAAAGCAAGGATAGTGGAAAATACTTAACAGTAGACTGAGTTACTTTAAGAATTAACATTCTGGGTATAAAGTGCAGTACAAGCCACACACAAACACACACACACACACACACACACACACAATGCCTGACACACAACAGACTTAGCAAATTATCTTAAACTGAGTGAATGAAAAAGAGAAGAAATTAGCAAAAAGCTGCGACTTGGGGAACAGCATGTGATTCATAGTTTGAACGATCCTAGACAAGTCTCTTAACCTAAGCCTCAGTTTCTCATCTGAGAAGCAATGTCCACCTCACTGGTTTGCTGTGAGAAATTGAATAATGCGGTTAGAGGGTTATGTGGTTAAAAGCACCTGACAGTCATAAGACCTGGATCGTAGATCAAGCTCAATTCCACACAATATGATTCACTCAAATATTTACTGAGCACTTACTATTTGCCTGGCATTGTATTCTGGGTGCTGGAATTGGATAAAAGATTAATAAGACAGCTAGGTTTGTCCCTTGTATAGGGCAACTGGGATGGAGGCAGACCAAGATTCTGAATCATAGCACTCTTATTTTATTTTACCTACATTCAAAAGGGGTCCCCCAAACACCCTGAATGAGTTGTCCCAGTCTTTGCCCTCAACTCATAGTCTATTGGGGGAGACAAATCTGTAAACCCCAAATTCCAAAGCAGCATGCTAAATGCAGCAATGGTGGTATTAAAAGGTGTGTGGAGGGAATAAGGAGGGACTGATGAACTGTAGAGGGGGAGTTGGGTAGAGAGGCCTGAAGGGGATGCTGTCTGGCTGAATTATGGAAAATAAACAGGAGTTCCTACAGAGCGAAAAAGCTGAGGAAGGGCATTTCAGATAGCAGGAAGCATCACATGCAAAGCCAAATAAACAGGAAGTTGCTAATTCCAGGTTCTGCCATTAACTGGCTTTATTTAACCTTTATGGAATTTCCTCAAGTCCCTCTGGGCTTCCAGTTTTTTCTCATATTAGAAAACGAAGGTGGGGGGGGGGGATGGGAGGCGTGGAAAGAGGTAATACAGATTTTCTGTAAGGGGCTTTCTAACTGGTCGCTCCCTGCTGAAACAGAGAGAAGAGGGGTAGCTTTGGGAATATCAAGTGTTATTTTTCGAGTATGAGCCAGAGGCCCCATCTTTTGTGACAAAAGATGACAGGCTGCAGTCATTCAGAAATGTTTGCATAATCCACCCAGTTCATCAGTATTTACGGCATTGACTGAGCAGGCTATTAAGGAGGCCACCAACCAGCAGAGAGAGACTGGTAATAAGTACACGAGTATCATGGAAACCGTATTGATCTACACATGGCGGGTGCGTGGAGGCAGTAAAATTGAAGCACCTAGAGCATGTCCGTCACGTGCAGGATGACAGGATTTAGCTCCTAGCAAAAGGGAACTTCCTGGTTCCTCACCCTGTTTCATCTTCTCCAAGAGGCCGCCAGCATGTTCCGCCGCCAGTTCTCCCTGGGCAGGGCCACCAGGCATCCTCTCTCCACCTGCAACCTTTTTCAGGCCTGTGTAAGGGGCTCCGTGCACGCCAAGCGGATGCGGGTCCCAGGACTGACCAGAGGGTCACGCCCCAGCACCCGCTGCAGGGCCCCCAGCCGCGGCGAGCAGGGCGAGCAGGGTTGGCTTGGAAGGCGGGCTGTGCAGTGCCTCCAGGGGTTGGGCTCCCGGCCGGCTGGGCGGGACTCAGGCTGCCAGTATAAGGCAGGGGCGCCACTGTCCCAGCTAAAGTGCTGAAGCTGGCGCCCCAGCCGGGACCGGGAGGCCGCCGGCACTGAACTTGAAATTCAGGACCCAGAGTGACTGGAGAAGGAAGGAAAGGTCTGATTTCGATTTGTTCGTTTATTTACTACCGATGAATGGAAGGCGGGCAGGTCTGTGGGTGCAGGAGCGCTCGGCGTGGATTCGCCAGGGATCGTAGGCCCGTTGGTACCCTCGGAGGGCCCCGGGGAGCGGTCCAGCCACTTCCCGAGGGGCCCCAGGCGCCCACACTCACCAACTTCTCTCCCCCGCAGGAGCACTTCTTGCCACTGCTCCCAGCCCTAGCCTCGGAGGATGCGGCTCCTCGGGAAACTGCGCGCCTCCGCTCCGGAGCCCGCTTTCTCCAACGTGCTCACCCCGGCCCGCATCCCCGAGTTCTGCATCCCGCCGCGGCTGCCCGCGCCCTGCGTACCCGAATCTCCGCCTCCGGCCGCGGCTCTGCCCCGGCGCTGCGCCGCCGAGCCGGACCTGTGGCCCCGAGGAGCCGACGATGCCGCCGGGCACACGGACTGGGACCCGCGCTCGCAGGCCGCGCTCTCGCTGCCGCACCTGCCGCGCGCGCGCACCGCCTACGGCTTCTGCGCGCTGCTCGAGAGCCCGCACACTCGCCGCAAGGAGTCGCTCTTCCTCGGGGGCCCCGGGGCCGCCCCGCTCCTGCCCCCGGGCGCAGCCCCCGCCCCCGCCCCCGCGCTCCCCGCCGGCGCCCGCCCGACCTCGGACGCGCCCGCCCCGCCGCCCGGCGCCCGCCGCCTCCTGCGCGCCCCCGAAGGACTGCTGAGCCGCGCGCTGCGGGCCCGGAGGAGCCGCGGCCTGGCGCGCGCCCGCGGCGCGTCCAGCGGGGACGAGGACGAGGACGAGCAGCGCGGCGCCGGCTCGCGGCCCCCGGCCCGGGCCCCCTCCGCGTCCCCGCCGCCGCCGCCGCCGCCGCCGCCTGGCTCCGACCCGGGGCCCGAGTGCCTGGAGGCCGAGGGCACCGTGGCCCTGGGCGGCGCCGGGGGCGCCCTGCGCCTGGCCGCCCAGTACAGTCGGGCCAGCGGGCGGCTCCGCGTCCGGCTGCTGGGCGCCCAGGGCCTGGCCGCGGGAGCCGCCGAGCCCCGCGCCGTCGGCTGCCGCGTCAGCTTCGTCCTGCGGCCGCCGGGCAAGACGCGGCCGCAGCGCAGCGCCGTGGTGCGGCCGAGCCGCAAGGCCGCCTTCGACCAGGACGTGTGCCTGGACGGGCTGTCGGAGGACCAGGTGCGCCGCCTGGCCGTGCGCGTCACGGCGGAGAAGCGGGGCCGCGGCCGGGAGCGGGGCCGCCTGCTGGGCCAGGGCGAGCTGCTGCTGGGCTCCCTGCTGCTCCCCTGAGGGCGCCCGGGCCTCGGGCCGCCCGTGCCCTCGGGGCGCTCTCCGCCCGCTGGGAACCCGGGCACGGCCAGCCGCTCCGTACAAAACAAATGCTATTTATTCATTTTTCTATTTATGATCTTGCTTTATTGAAAGTTTAGTTTTTAGATGTCTGTTTTTGCCATTACTGGTAGTGAAGGGAGAAAATGAAGTTCTGTATTTCCAACACCCAATCCTTTTTTCCAGACCATTTTTTTTTTACATTCAAAGGCAAAAAGGGTTGGCTTGTGGCTGGAAGGGAGAAAAAGGAACTACACCCAATCTGCCTTGATTATCCTCCCTGCTTTATGTCAACGCTAAAGGTTTATTATTTTTTAAGTTATTCCTTCGGAATCCTGCCCAGTGCTAAGATTCGCATATGCAGCTTCACATATTTGATGTGGCATAGGTCATATTCTCATTCATGCACACCCATCAGAGCCGGACATTCTGTAATAAGGATATCTTGGTGGGAAAAGAATTTCTTTCTCATTAAGAAAACAGGATTCTTTTGAAAGTGAAGTCGTAAAAAAAAATGCTAAAGAAAAGTAAAACAGGGCGCCTGGGTGGCTCAGTTGGTTAAGCGACTGCCTTCGGCTCAGGTCATGATCCTGGAGTCCCGGGATCGAGTCCTGCATCGGGCTCCCTGCTCAGCAGGGAGTCTGCTTCTCCCTCTCCCGCTCCCCCCTCTTGTGCTCTTTCTCTCTCCCACTCTCTCTCTCTCAAATAAATAAATAAAATCTTAAAAAAAAAAAAAAAAAAGAAAAGTAAAACAAAGTGAGTGAAGGATCTTTCAAAGGATGGTCATGTAGGGAATGGATAATCCTGGCATCCCCTTCTTCCTTCTCCAGAAGGAGCCCTGGGAAATCTTGCTGTTTCAGAAGACAAATCTTTCTGCCTCTGTAAACATATTGATTTTTTTTTTCTGGCATTATTTCCACCTAGCTATGTATTTAAGTTACATAGTAATTAATACCTCTGCAATAGGATTTCCTAGATGAATGGAAACGGAAGCTGTCAACTTTTTGAACACTGGATTTTAAGAGAGGTTGATTAATACAATTTATTTTCATTTGTTGATTCAACAAATAGATCTGAGTCCACTGGAAACTGATCATATCCAAGAAGGTTTGCCCTTGACCTTAGGCATATATGGTGTGGTGGAAAGCACAATGAGGGGGTGGGGGGAGACTTAGATTCCAATCTTTTTTCTGCCACTTGTCTGAACTAGGGAAGATCACTTCATGTCCCTGAACCTCATTTCCTACATCAGTGAAATGGGGGTGTTAATACCTACTTCACAGGGTTTTGTAAAAATATGGTTTAATATCCAAATAACCCTTAAATACACATGAAATATGATAGCTTACCTGAAAAGACTTGAACTGTACTGGTGAATCGGTGCTACGTAATGTTCCAGAAAATGAACTCCTTCATTTCTCCTCCTTTCTTTCCAATTGTTTCTCCCTGGTCCTGGAGTGGAGGCTAGCAGAATGGATGGCTACCTGAGACCGAGGATTTAGGGGAGCCAGGAGTGGGAATAGAGAATCCTTCAGGATTCCTGTGGTAAATAAGCAATAGTTTGCACTCATTCTGCATTAAAAACCCCTCAGCACTGTTACCGAAATGACGTTCGAGGTACAAATTTGGTCAGAATAAGTCAATAAAAATCCTGGATTTCAAACGTAATTTCAAAGTGGAAAAATTATCTCATAGAAATCATTGAATCAAATTACTTCTGAAATTGAGAAAATACCACAGAGGTGACTTGCCTGAAGTCGAATAGCTAGGGATTGGCTAAGCTCAGATAAGAACCAACTTGTCCTGACTTCTCCAGAGGACTGACGTTCCCTTTGTTTCCTCATTTAATGATGATTTGTTGAGCCCTTTCTCTGTGACAGGCACAATACCAAGTCCAGGCGACGCAGCTATGAAAAGACAAGATTCCTGTTCTCACAGGACTTAGTTTTAGTGGGGGTAGCCAAACAATAGCTAAGTTTGGTTATTACAGATTGTGGTGACTATCATGAAGACAGTAAACTAGGGAGGGTGAGAGAAGTGGCAGGTGGGATGCTCTCAGAGATAGAGTGGTCAGGGAAGGTCTCCCTAAGACCTGAGGAAGGAATCATACACAAGAGAAACTTAATCTACACAAACATCCACTTACTGTGTCCAAATGACCCCTTAATACATCAAGCCAGAATTCTTGATTTTCCTCTCCCACATCTCTTCCTCCTCTAGTCTTCCTTATTTCAATAAATGACAACATCATTCTTCCTTCTTTGCAAGCCAGGAACCTGGAATCATCCTTAACTTCTCTCTCTCACATTCCATTTTTCTTAGGTGTAAATGTCTCCTCCCCTGCCCATCCTATCTTAAAAGACATCACTGTTGCTATTGCTTCATTCTTCGTAGCACTTATCACTACCTGACATTATATTATACACTTATTTTGTTGTTGTTTGTTTCCTGCTCTCCCACCAGAAAGTATGCTTTATAAAGCAGGAACTCTGTTGATTCATTGCTTTATTGCCAGTACCTAGAGCAGTGTCTGGCATCTGGTAGACTCTCAATAAAATTGATTGAGCGTTGAACAAATATAGAAAGAGATAAAATAGAGTAGAGGACCTAGGACCAAGCCTTGGAACGAATCAACATTTAGAAATTCAGTACAAGAGGAGCGTCAGTGTAGGACAAAGAGAAATGGCAGCCAATGAGACAGGGCAAAGACCAGAGGAGTGTGGAGTCATAGAAGCCAAAGAAGTATTTAGAAGAAGGAGATATCCACCCCATTGAAATCCTGCAGTCGTCGTAACAGGAGCTAGACCAGAAGGGGTTAACATGTGAATGGGAGGTGAGAAAGTATACACAGGAAGTTTTAGAAAAGGGGGAGCAGAGAAGGGGCCTATAGCTGGAAGAAAATCAGAGCTTTCCAGAATCAAAGATTTATTTTGTTTTAATATGAACAAATCTAACGCATGTTGGGAATATCCAAAATAGAGGGAGATGTTGCGAGTGAAGCGAAAGAAAACCAGGAATAACTATAGGAGGAGAGTCTTTGGAAAATTAAGAGAGGATCCAGAACATATGTGGGTAGAAGTAGTGATCAAGTACTCATGTTCCCGATCCATATCTTATCCCATGTCTCTACTCTGCCATCCACAGCATCATTCCATCCCGAGGCAGGTCACACTTGTAGTCTTAGCTTGTTGGCCAGAACAGCTGGGACTACCCCATGATTTCTCATTAGACTCCAGGCTGGAGAAAAGGCATTGCGCCTACAGGCACCCCTATACGACTGAGGAAGAATTTCCCCAGAAAGCCCCAGAAAACTCCTCTCTATATTTTATTGGCCTAAATTGGGTTGCAATCCCAATTATGAACCACTCCCTGGAAGGGAGAGAGTGGTTAGACTTAGGGACATAGGGCCTCTCTCTGTAGCAGAGTGTGAAGTCAGCATTGGCTGAGGCAGGTGCATCTTCCTGTTAAGAAGTAAGATGGGGAGGGGCACTTGGGTGGCTCAGTCGGTTAAGTGACTGCCTTCGGCTCAGGTCATGATCCTGGAGTCCCAGGATCAAGTCCCACATCGGGCTCCCTGTTCAGCGGGGAGTATGCTTCTCCCTCTGACCCTACCCACTCTCATGCTCTCTCTCTCATTCTCTCTCTCTCAAATAAATAAATAAAATCTTAAAAAAAAAAAAAAGTAAGAAGGGGAATCGGCACTTGGGTGGTGCAATCAGTTAAGCATCCGACTCTTGGTTTCTACTGCGGTCCTGATCTCAGGGTCATGGGATTGAGCCCTACTTGGGCCCCGTGCTCAAGGCGGAGTCTGCTTAAGTTTCTTTCTCCCTCTCCCTCTGCCCCTTCCCCCACCTCAAAAAAATAAATAAATCTTTTTTTTTTTTTTTTTTTTTAAGTAAGAAAGCGGTGCAGTACTAGAAAGAGTAGAAAGTCGGAGGCCACAAAAACCTGGCTTTAAATCTAGGCTCTGCTACTGGGTAGTTGTGTGATCTTGGGGCAAATGCTTAAACTTCTTTATGTCTCAGTTTCCTCCTTTCTAAAATATTAGGTGTGAAGATGGCAAGGGTTAAAAGAGATAATTGCATTTAGTTATAGCAAGATTCATATTAACAGGGAGACGCACTCTTCTTTTTAAATATAATTTGAATATCTCCTCTTTCATTCATGCAAATGAGTATAATTTTGCTGAATGGCTTTGTGCACATCTGTGGTTCCAGTCTTAAGTCTGTACAAAGGGCGGTCTACTGGGAAAATATCTGGGTGACTGCACTAAATGATACAAACACAAAGAATTACATCCTTCCATTCCACTGGTTGTATATTTCAGACTCCATCTGCCACGTTCCAGAGAGAGGAACAACAGCTCAGCTGATGTGTGCCAAAATCCAAACATTACTACCAGGAGTTTTTCATCCTTTGTGAATAGCAAGGCCTTGATAAGATATCCTTATGTGACCAGACACTGGTATTTATCCTAACAGGGAAAATCCATATTTTATTTTCTTTGGCAAAAAGAACAGGATTTATTTTCTAGGTTGGCAACAGTTCCTGATTTAAAAAAGAACCAGTGTCTCCTGTCTCTGTCACCAGGAAATGGTGCCTGATTTGTCTAAACTGTCCATGCAGCACTCCGGAGTTTCATCTCTTTCTCCTCCTAGTCACCTAGACCAGAGCCACCATATCTTCCTCCTTTACTCAATCGGCTCTGTACTGCTCTCTTCACCATTATCATTTTTTAAAATTTTTTGAATAATGTGAGAGTTATAGAACAGTTGCCAAAACAGTGCAAAGAATTCCCGTATACCTTTTAACCAGATTCTCTAAATATTTATTTCATTATCATCCTATCTATCATCTTTTTTTTCCCTGAAATATTTGACAATGAGTTGTAGACGTGTGCCTTTTTATCCCCAAATAGTTGTGTATTGCCTAAAAATAAAGCTATTCTCTTCCATAATTCCCTTATAAAAATAAGGGAATTAATATTGATTCAATACTACCAGATAATCTACAGAACCTATTCAAATTTTTCTAATTGGCCAATAATGTTTGGAGGTATATTTAAGAAGAAGAAAATCCTGGATCATAAGTTGCACTCAATTGGCATGTCTCTTTAATCTTCTTTAATCTCAGGCTTTCATGATCTTGACATTTTCTATAAGGTCATAAGTTTATTTGTCTGATACCCCCTTGTGATTAGATGCAGGTTATGTATTCCTGGCAGAAATGGCACAAAAGTGATGCATCTTCTCTCATTACTAGTGACATTAACTTTAATTACTTGGTTAGAGTGATGGTGTTTACCAGATTTCTTTACTGTGAAGATTATTATTTTCCTCTTTATATTTAATAAATCTCTTGTGAGAGATACTTTGAGACCATGTAAATATCCTCTCATCATCCTCTTACTTCCCAGATTTAAGCATTCATTGATGATTCTTGCCTGAAACATTTATTACTAAAGAGATTGCCAAACGGTAATTTTAGAATTGCGTCTTTTTTTTTATATTTGTTAGTTGAAATTTTAACTTTGCTTTTCCCATTATTTATTTATTAGTTTATTTATATCTGTATGGACTCATGGGTTTTTAATTTTATTCTATGGGTTATAACCCATTGCAATTATTTATTTTGGTCTCAGGTTTGACCTGTGGGAGCCTCTTCAATCTGGCTCTTGTGTCCTTGTTATATCTTCATTGAACACTTACTTATTTTCTGTATCTAAAATTTGTTCCAGGTTCATCTTGCACTTCTGATACCCCAGTCCTGGAATCAATCATTTCTCAAGACATCTTGATTTCTTACGTTGATTGATGGTACTTAGAAACCAAGATCTGAGTGCTAAGTGTGCCCATGGCTACTGGGGTGTCATTGCTTCTAAGCTCTAGAACACACACACAACTCTCTCTCTCTCCTCTCTTCCATCTATATTTGCGCATCTATCTTTTAAAAGATGAATTTAAACTGAACCATCATCAGATTTAATTTCCTAATACTCTGCTTTCACCATAAACAAAATCCTTCCATATCTATACCTTACCCAAAACTCTTAGTATTAAGATTTAAGATGCACTGTAGTTTGTCCCAAACCCAAGTCCTCCAGCCTTACCTTCCTGAGTGTCCCTTCCCTGGTATTCCTCTGCCATAAAGAGAGTATCCACTTGCTGTACCTTGAATATGTCTGTTTACAGTATCCTGAACAGCTTTGTACTGTTAGAATTCTTCATTATGAGCATAAAATGAAACTGTCTAAAATCTTAGTAACAAGACATCGAACTTGTAGAATGGCTAAAAGAAATGATTAATCAATTAAAGTAAGTATTTGACGTTAATCGCTTACATAACAAGAACAGACAGCTGGGGAGTAGAGGTGATCATATAAGAAGCTTTATTCTGATTGGAAAAGGCTGGTCTTGAAGAAAACACACTAGAAAAACCTGGAGTTTGTGCAGCTGTGACACCTTTGCTAAAGCTGCAACCCCTCTGCTGTGCCCTTAGCATTTGAAAGGGCTACCAGTAAGACTTGGTTCTTGGAGAAGT